ATGTGGAAACTGAGGCATGGAAATGTCAAACAACTCCTCTATAGTCACAGAACTAGGAGGTGAAGAAACTAGGGTCTGCAGTGGAGCCCCTGGGCTCCTGTGTCTGTGCTCTTTACCACTACCCTTTCCAGATTTTCACAGACAAACCAATCCACACGGGGCCTCTCTCCTCAGTTGCCTTCACAAGGCTGCACCAGAGTCTTCAACCTCAACTCCAGGAGAAGGTTGGAGCCCTTTTTCCACCTGATACGAGCATGGCACACGTGGGCACAGTCCCTGGGTGCAGCCTGCACCTTCTAGGGCTCTGGAAGCTGGCATCTCACCTTGCCCTGGGCCTGCCACTTCTGGGAGCTGGGAGAGAGACGTTCCCTCATCCTTCCTCTTTTCCCCTCCACGATCTTCTCAGGGCACCTGTCTTGCCCACCCTTGGGGCCAGCATGGGGGTCTTTGCTTCACAAGGCCTTTAGCTCTTGAGAATAAGAACTGACAGGACAACAGCCAAGCCAGGCAAGAGCAGACTGTCATCAGGGCACAGAGAAGATGCTCAAGAAATCAAGGAGGATGAGCAGATGCCCAGCATGGGCAGCAACCCCATAACCCCATGCAGGAAGAAAGCAGCCCAGCTCTGGACCTGGCTGGGGCCTGCCCTGCAGGTCGCCAAGGGCACCTCAGGCCCAAGGAACCATATAGGCAAAACACTCCCAGTTGGCTCCAGGGACAACATCTGCCTTCACCCTATCCTGGCCATGCCACCCGCGATCATAGCCAGCCTGGGCCAGACCAAGTACTCTGTGGCCCCCCAACTGACCCTGGGCTCAGGCCCAGCATCCCGGCAAAGGCATGACCCCTGCTCCATACCCCTCAGCATTTTATACAAGGCCCTGGGGGAGAGGCTGCCTCTGGCTCCAGCATCTTTGTCTTCTCTGGAACTCACACCCTCTTCCCTGCACACCCACTCACTCTGCAAGGCCTGGGCAGCCAACACAGGGCTTGCATTAAGTCTCTTGGCCCTTGCAGTTAGCTCGGTAAGAATGACCTTGAAGCTGCAGACCTGTGGCTAAAGCTGCACCCACAAGTCTCAGCTCCACGTGGTGGCAGGACTCACCAGCTAAGTACAGCTCTCCATGGCCACGGCCACAGCTGCTTTTCCAAATGGCAGGAGAACAGCTGGCAGCCCCTCGTCTGGTCCTACCATGGGATATTTGTTGGCAGGACAGAGGAGTGGGTGACTGAGAGCCTGGCACAAGGCCCGGTGGTGCTCCAGAGTGAGCAAGGACACTGCAGGTCAGCACAGGCTGCTGGGGGAGGGTACTGCGGCCACCACAGCAGGCAGGGGTCAGAGGAGCACACAGGCCCAGCCCAGAGCCCCAAGCAAGGTGAAGCAGCGCTGATCACCAGAATTTCTGCAAAAGCAGAACATGTCATGCACCAGGCCCGGAGAGTTGGGTTCCTAGACAGGCTCTTCAGCTGCCTGCCCTCCCTAGGTGTCCGTGAGTACAGTAGCCCCACACACATCTCTTCCGTCTCTGTGGGCCCAGATGCGACAAGCCCAGAAGTGCCTTGCAGCACTGCTTATGAGCCTGCAAGGGCGGTGCTGCCTTCGACCTCCATCAGCACCTGCCAGCTGCTGGGCTCCAGACACTTGGGGCCTCCTCCCCTGTCTGCCTGGCGTTGAGGGGCCCTGCCCTATATGGCCAGAAAATCACAGGTCTCTAGCGGCTGAGGCGGGCACCCCTGTGGCTCCAAGCAAGGGCCCTGCATGGGACCGCAGCACCTTCCATCCCTATTCTGAGGCTGCTCAGACTCAACCTGTGTCCACAGCCCTAAGCTGACTGCACAGAGGAGCCCACTGCTCCACGAACCTGAAGCGCCAGGTTTGGTGGCTGATCAGCCCCTCATTCTGCACAGCTCCGGACCTTACAGACAAAGGCTTTCCTTAAACTCTTGACCTGTGCAGTTGGATTAGCAAAGAATGACCTTGGCCCCGGGCCAACCAAAGCCCAGGAGCCCGCACACTTTCAACAGGCACTGCCCTTCTAACCGCCAGGACTTGGCACCTTCTCCCTTGCTACCACCCTCCCCTTTGCACCTTCTCAGAGCTCTGAGCTCCTCCACCCAGGCACTGCCCAGAACAGCCTGGTCCTTCGAGCATTCTAGGAACACAGAAGCTCCACAGTCAGGGTTCTTGCAGGGCACTAGCTTCTAAGGTCTGGCCAAGAGCAAGCTGGGGTTCCAAGCAGGCTCCCTGGGGGATGCGGCATCTCTGCTAGCCACCCCAGAGGCCATCTCTAGCTCAGTGCACCCCTGAGCTCTGAATGTCTCTCCAACAGTGAGCCCCATCTGGTTCCCAAATGCAATGGCATCTCAGTCCTGCTACAGGGCTCCAGGTTCGGTCACCCAAGCTAACACCAGGAAGTCTCTGTCTTTCTGCTCACATCCATCTCTGTCCTCCTCCCACAGCCCAAGCTGGCCCAGGCTTCACCTACCTCGTACCCTCCCCTTGGCATTGACCTCTACCACACTTCATCCTGCCCACAGCATCCAGAGGTCCCCCTACAACACGATCTTTGCGCATCTCAGAATTTCTCTAGAACATGATCTTTACAAGTCATTCCCCAGCCCACAACCCGCCAGGTCTCTCCAGGGTGTGTCTTACAACCCAGTGAACTTTGAGTCCCTAGTGTGGCATTCAAGGCCCTTCCTTGGGAACAACAAATTGCCTTTGGAGGGCTCTAGAGTCTAGCTGCCCGTCTCCCCCAATATCTTCCAACCAGAAGCCAAACGCACAACTCCTCTCCATTCCTGCAGCCCAGAACTGGCTCAGCACTGCGAGGGAGCAAGCTCAGGGTGCCTCCAGCTTGAACAGAGCTCCTCCACAATGACCCTAAAGTTTCTCCACCTAGAAAGCATGCCAAATGTGGGCGCCCCACCCCAGTACCCGCTCCACAGCCACCTCTGCCGACCCTACGGCAAATACTCACTTTGGCACCAGGAGGGCCGGGCAGGCCTGGGTTTCCATATGGCCCAGGAGGACCCTAAAGGGAGACAAAGAGAAGGTGAGAGAAAAGAGTTCAGATAGCAATGCTTCTTCCCTCCTCCCACCCACTGCTAAGCGCTGCCCCCAGCAGCAGCACACTGTCCACAGCACCGTGGCCATCCACAGCCCACTTCTAGGAGACCCTGGACGGCCGGCACTGGACGAACTTCCCCACGTCTTATCTCATGTCACAAGTTACCCTACCAAGTAGATACAAGCACTAGACATAGGTTCTAGGAGTCAGCGCCAGAGATGAAGCTAGTGCTTGAGGAGCTTTGTAACTGTCCCAGATCACCCAGCTGCTAGGAGCAGAGCTGGGCCTTTGCCCCAGATCTGGAAGGATACAGGATCCACTCCCCAGTGCTACCACTTCTGCACACTCAGCCCAGCCCCACTGACCCTTCCAGCTTCCTTGCACTCCAACCATATTCGGCTCATTGGTTTTCTCTAGGGGCCTGCTACCTCCCCTCCTCATCACAGTGGCCCCTCATGCCAACCTGTCACTGGGAACGTCTTGCCCATCTGTCCCTTCTGGCTGTGATCAGAACTCATCTTGGAGGCCTGGCTCAAAGCTGACCTCTTCCAGGGGGCCTTTCCAGACTCCTTAGGCTAAAGCAATCTCTGCTTTGGATTCCAGTGGCCTTTGGTAGGAGTTGAGGCCTTACCAAGGGGTGGGACTTGGCCACGTCAGAACAAAGGCCCAAGCGAGTGACCAGAGCCTCCCAGAGGCTCCAGCATACGCTGGAGACTGCGGAGCAGCTGGAAAGACCGATACAAAGTGCATGCCTGGGCACAGGCTGCACAGCAGAGTGTGCTCGAGTGAGAGCAGCTTCCAGCCGCTTGCTCACTGCCCTTGGGTTTCCCAGACCATCGCTACATCCTGAGACAGTTGGCTCCTGTCATGTCCACTTTGCCCAGTGAGAGCCTTAGCTGCAGACCTTGAGCCTGCAGCTGGGGAAGAGCCAATTACCAGGCAGGCACAGCCCCGGGCAGTGGCAGTAGGAAGGGGCATCTGGAGGGTCCACGAGCCCCCGACCCCACCGCCCTCTGCACTTGGCTCCTTGGTCTATCCGTGCATGAACTGGCTTCCTCCCTCAGAGGCCAGCTCCCAGCTGCAGCCCGTCACATTCCAACCAAGGCACCTCCCTCTTCCTCCGTGCCTGAGCAGGGACCCTCCCCTCCTCTGAACGCACAGGAAGCAACAGTGTCCAGCCTGCACTCAGTCCGGGGAGTTTATAGGCGCCACGTGTGACTTTCCTTCTAAAATTATCAGCATCCTGCCCCTCCCACCCCTTGGTCTCCTGGCACGGGGATGGAACCTGAGCAGCAAAGCCCACAGCGCACCCATTCGCCTCAGCCTCCTATGAATGATGGGAGCCAGGGAGCTCTGGAAAACTTCCTATGCCCTCCCAGCCTAAGCTCCCAGCTCTACCCCAAACTCAGGCTAGGTGGGATGTTGGAGGAGGTTCCCAATGCCCAGCTCTCCCAGAACAGCAGTGGGGTATGCAAGGTCAAGGGTGGCTGCCTCTCAGCTGTGCCCCCAGCATCCCCACAGATGGTAAGCTGCAGCCTTCGGCCCTCATCTGCAGTCTGCAAAGCTGGGGCTTCCTGCTCCCAGCTCCTATCCCCACCCTGCTCCAGCCACTGCCTTACAGAGAAAAGAGGCGCATAGTTGACCCGGAGCCAAGCAGACCGACTCTATAAATGTTGCAGCCTAGAAAGCCGGGTGGGGGAGGGCTCAGGGATTCTCCGACATCTCCGCACAGGATGAGGGAGTGTGGGGAGGTGGGAAGGGACAGGCCACAGATCTCTGGTGACCTCAGGTAAGAACCTGCTCCTCCCTTAGCCGAGGGCCACTATCTGTGCAGAGGCAGTAGGATTGTTTAATGTGACATTCTATTATCATTGGAATTTTAGGATCTATGGAATTTCTAGGTTAGAAACAGGATGGCAGGGGGTGGGGCAGGCACAGAGCCTGGAAGCAGGTCAGGAGAGCTGAGAGGAACTTTGGAAATGCTTCACCATGATGCCAGGTTTCACAAACGGGGAAACTGAGGCCAAGAGGAGAGACAGGACTTGCCTATGACTACCCGACTCCCTGGTAGAAATGTTCCTGTCTCCCAGCTAGAAATCTCTTCTAACCATTTGCCCAGCACCAAGGTACCATGCTAGGTAGGCATCAGGTAAGACAGTAACACAGATAAGGTCTGTGGTCCACTGGGATATGGCTTGGTTGAATAGAGAATTACTGCCATACAGGTAAGAAGGGGAGCTCTGGAGTCAGGGAACCTCCAGGAACAGGCTTTCAGAGCCTCACCTTCCCCATTCCTAACCCGGGGATCACATTGGAAGCTTTGATTCCTTTGGTCTTAGCATAAATGGAAGTGGACTTTGCAAAGGAGACCTCTGAGTCAAGGGGACATTGGAGTAAGGTGGAAGGAAGTCTCAGGGAGGGCTGGGGGGGCAGCCTTCCGGGGCCTGGAATGCCAGGTTGGGGGGCCCTGTCAGGATGCAGCCAACTGCAAGGCCCCGTGGCTGGCAGGGCCTGGGATACCTGCCTGGTCCTCAGCTCTGCGGATGCACTTTCCTGGAGACTCGGAAGCCAGGAGGAAATGTGGCTCCAGACAGTGCATTCCAGAGCCTTGGGTCCAGGGATCCCAGGGCCAGGTCTGGAGGGAGCTAGCACTGAGTAGTTTTGTAACCAGAACCAGCTGCTGGGCTCCGAGCTAAAAATATGCCCCAGGCAGTTATCTCTGCCAGGCTCTCTGCCACCCAAGAGTTCAGCCCTCTCGGGCACAGCCCGTGGAGCTGCCTGGATCAGCACTGCTGCCCGGATTAGCACTGCTACCTGACACAGCCCTGCAGAGAACGTAGAGGACATGCCAAGGCACTGCCTCCCAAGCAGGCTTCCTCCTGGACACACGCTGAAGCCTATGAGGTCAAGAAGATGGCTTCAGGAGCCCCCTCCATAACCCAAACATGATGCCCAGGACAGACACCGTGCAAGAAGTCACTGCCATCCCAAGTCTCACCTGTCCCTGGAGCACCTCCTAGAGACGCAGTCAACCTCCAATGCACAAAATGAAACATGGGTTTTGGCAAGGGTCAGGGAGGGGCCTGAGGGCACTCCGCAAACTGGGACTTTGGGGCAGCAGAACCCAGGCCAGAGAACATATATAATCACTTACCCGAGGCCCCCGGGGGCCAGGAGGTCCAGGTAGCCCAGGAAGCCCAGGGGGACCCTGAATAGGAAGCAAAAAGACAACGTCAGACAGTGCCAAGAGGCAGCAGAGAATGGAATCAACCAGTCATTGAGCAACCCTGCCCAGACCTCTGGGCATGGAAACCCCATGGGCAGAAGAGGGGTCTCCTGAAGTCCTGTCCTAAGCAACTCATGCTCTTGGACGCTTCCGTGCTTTTCTTATAGCATCTGCTCTCTCCCAGCCTTTGGGGTGCTCATCTTTTATCACCCAGATAACTTACAGCGCCACCTCCTCCAGGAAGCCTTCTTGGGTCCATTCCCCAACCCCCTCTTTTCTCTCTAGACTGTTCCATACCTGGGAGTTCTCTGCTCCGACTCTCGTCTCTCCCACCACATCATGGTCTCCTCAAAGGAACCAATAGTGTGAGTCAGCTCTATCCCCAGGGCGCAGCCAAATGTTTAATAAAATAAAATAGCAAGGAACCTCAGAGCTCAGCCAAGTCCTCTCCAGAGCCAGAGCAGAGAAGGGGCATGATCAAGGGTAACTGAAGCATCTTGTACTGTGAACAGGCAGCATGGCATCAAAAGCGCGGTCACAGGCTTCTCAACCCCCTGGGGCCTGGGTTCAAATCCTCACACTGCCACTTAGCAGCTGGGGTTGGTAATTCCCTCTCGCTGGATTATTTCAAGGGTGCTGAGAGATGGTAAGTGTCCAGCACAGTGGCTGCTGAGTCCCTGGACTCACGTTCTCTCTGCTCCCACCTTCCTCAGGGTTCCCTGAGAACCTGCAAGAGCTCCACTGGGTTTTCCCTCTTGAACCCGCCTCACCTCACACAGCCTCTTCCTCCCTGCCCAGCAACTCCCCTGCCAATAGCACTTAATGGCTCCGCACTTCCACAGGAGAAAGGCCTGACCCTGAAGCGGGTGTTCTAGCAGCACCTGCCTGGCTCCAATTCTCTCCCTTCACACTGGAGGGGAGGCAGCAGGGCAGAGTGACTAAGAGGCCGGCTGACTTCTGTTCAAATCCTGAGCTCGCCACTGCAGTCTGGGGACTCTGTGACTCCCTTTGGCTGTCAGAGACTCATGTGCTTCCCCTGTAAAATGGGCCCAACAGCACCGTCCCATCTATCCAGAGGAGTCAATCAGGATCAACTAAGCGTCTGACGAGCCAGCCTCACAGAGCCCGAAGCCTTCGAAGGAAGCCAGGCTTTCGAGGATGTGTGAGGCCTGGGGAATTCATTTGTTTCAAATAACAGTCAATGAGATTCCAGGTTTCCTGCCCAGAATTAAAATCAGCGTTGAAAACTCAGAATGCTTTGGCTGGTAATTAATCCGGATCTCACGCTGGGCAGCCTCAGCTCACGGTGCCTGTGAGCACCACGTGCCCGCCTGTCCATAAATAAAAATCAGAGAGATCCAGACAGGCAGATAAGGCACCAAGGCCCCGCAGTCACTGGGCAAGAGCCCCAGGCGTGGAGGAGGAGCTGTTGTATGGCAAGTCCTGGCCAGCCCTGTGTGGCCGGGCACCTCCGCCCAACCAGAGGCAGCCTGCCTTCCAGTGAGCAGCGCATGGTCTCTGGCCCTGCTGGCCCATGGGCCAGTCTACCTCCCTCTGCTCCTGCTTTGGTGGGGGCTACAGAATGCAGCCTAAGCCAGGGGTCCTGGGCTCACATGAGGCACCATATCATATGGCCAAGCTACTTTCAGGCACCATATCAGCCATATCATTTGGCCAAGCTACTTTCAGGCTCCAAACTTCCGTTTCTCAAACTTTCATCAAATGAGGATAATAACAGCTCATAGCTGCAGATAATCTATAAAATGTGCTAATCCTTTGGCTTGGCCCACAGTTAATGCCCGAAAAAATGTTAGCTGTTATTTCTGTATGGCCAGCTTTCGAAACTTCCCCACTCCAAAGTCTGAGCTACCTCTCTCTGCCCGTTTTGGAGGAAGAGCAAAGGATGTCCCTTCCTGGAGGGCTTGGTTTAATTCTTGCAGGGGCCAAGAGTCAGTTAAAGGAAATTGCTGGAGCTGAGGCTAAGCACTGCTGTGGGTATAAAACATTCTCTCAATGGAAAAGAAACCAGAGAGGCCATGTGACCTGCCTGAGCCCACACCATGAGTAAAAGGCTGCACTCAAACCTAGGCCCAGGAGACCCATCCTGTCCGGTGGGCAGCTTCCCCAAGAACAAGCTGGTCAGGTGTGTCTCTGACTAGGGGTGTGGCCTAGAGTGAGTCCCTTCTCCTCCGTGGCTATCTGGGATGTGAACACCCAGAGCTTTTCCAGCAGTGGTGGGGGCCTCAGTGGGGTTATCAGATGGGAGAAGAATATCGGATCATCCTGGTCTCCTCAGGTCCAAGCTCAGATTGGTATAGGAAGGGAGGGGTTCTTGGAGTGTGGCTCCCTGATGAGGCCACAACTGCATTTTTTTCTGCCCTAGAAATGGGGGTGTCCAGGCAGGAGTCTGAGCTCATCCACCACATCTGCAGAGCAGACTCAAGTGCCAGCCAAGACCCATGGCCTGGCCTGCTGGTGTTAGCTCACAGCCTGACTCCTCACGGGGCAGCCTAGGTCTCCACAGAGGGCCTGGCAAAGGGGCTAGGCCCACCAGCTGCTCAGCTCAGCCTCAGGCTTGACCTGTCCCCACTCAGTGATTGCTTTGTGGTCAGCAGCAAGGGTGGGAAGCCTGTGCCCCCTCCTCTGGTTGGAGACCCTGTCTGTTCTGCAGTGGAAAAATGCTGCCATTTCTTTCCAGGGCCTGAAGTCGGAGCGGGTGACTCCGAGATGATTCACGGGGCCAGGGTGGGATTTTCCACTCCACACTGCAAACAACGGGGCCTCTGAGAGGGCCTGGAGCTGAGGGGAGGGAGTGGGGAAGCAGCCCCACTCTGGGGGAGTCCATGGAGGCCTGGCCTTAGCGTGTGTGCAAACACAGCCACGGGAACAAGCAAGCCTGCCACTCTGAACTTCACCCAAGGTCTTGGCCTCGCATGGCCAGAACAGAGGGATCCTGCCCCATGGGCAAATCCACCCTTGTGCCCTGATGTAGCAGACCACTGGCCAGGCCCTGCAGGAAGAAGGCAGTTCTGGCTGGTGCATCTCTGGCATCAGAACCCAGGAAATGTTTTATAGGTCTAGGTCTTGGAGAATGGAGGCCTGGCCAGGGTGTGCTGCTCATGGCCACACAACCCCGGGCAATGACCTCTGGGCCTCTGCTCTGTGCCTATAACCTAGAGAGGTGGGGGAAGCATTGTAAAAGGCCTGACCATCTGAGCTCACAATGATTCCAAGCATACCCCACAGGGTGCTGCACATTCCACTCTCTAATCTAGGGAAGGAGCTGCTGGACAGAGCTCCTCCATAGGAATCCAGCTCAAAGGGGCTCTAACTAAGTTTGTGCACCTCCTGCATGTCTCTAGGCCTCAATTTGTCCAGCTGTGAAATGGAATTAATTTGCCCATGTTCTGAGACATTGCACATGCATGCACCCTGCATATGCTCCTTTTGCTCCCAGATTCGTTCTGGGCTTTGGGAGCTGGTGACTTGTGCACCACTAACCCCTTTACCCTGGAAATTCCTTGCCCTCAGGCTTGGCTTTGGTGGCATAGGGGAGGAAAATGGACACCCCAGCAAGAAAAGCATGTGGCCAATATGAGAGCACAGGATTCTCTCCTGCTCCCTCCCTACTGGGCTCTGCAGGGCCCCACCCCCTGTCGATGACCCAGGCTCAAGGTTTCAGCCCTTGCAGCACTCTGGTAACACCTTTCCTGGCCCCAAGCCTTCCAGGCAGAGTGCAAGAACCATTTGTTCCCAGACTTCTATGCTTCCCTGCCTCCTGCTGGGTCCCCTGGCACCATCTGCATCCCTGTCCATGGTCCCAGTGGCCCTGGCCCTGCCCAGAGCCCACGGACCCAGCATGCAAACTGCTCGGTACAAAGCCGGGCTCCACAGGGACCTCATTCTCCATGGTCCAGACGATGCTGGCCTTAGGATCCAGCCTGTTCTAACCATCCAGAGCAGGAGGGACCTGGAGTCACCAAGAGACCCCCTTGGGCCAGGCTATGGGCTGAGGCTCCCAGCAGCAGGGAAATGAAAACAAGTCTAGAAGCTCATAGAGAAGGCCTGAGTGCTGTGGTGAAAAGAATGGGAACAGGTCCCCCACCCCGAACCCCACCCACCTTGTCTCAGCCACAGAAATCCACAAGGACCCGGGCCCAGGGCCAGATGCGAGACCTGCTCACCTCACTGGATGCACACACTCTGGAAAGCTGGGCTCTACCCTACATTTGCTTCACAGGGACAGAAGCCGAGCCTCTGAGTAGTTAAGCAGCTTGGCCAAGGTCACAGGGCTCCAGACCCCAGAAAGGCACTCAACCCATATTCTTGTAAAGAATAAGCAGAAGCCAGGCATGGTAGCACAAACCTGAAATCCCTACACTCACTTCTGGAAGCTGAGGAGGGAAGACCACAGGTTTAAGCCCTGTCTGGAGAACTCAGCAATTTGTCTCAAAATAGAAGAGAAAACAAATGGATGGTAGGATAGCTCAGTGGAAACAACCTGGGTTGAAACCCCAGCACTGGAAAAAAAAAAAAAAGAATAAATAAATGAATGCATGAGTGAGTGAATGAGTGACTCCATAGGGAATAACTCCAAACCCAGAGTTCCCATGCCTGGCAGTCCACACGGCCATGGGCCAAGCCCTCAGCCCAGTCTCCTGAGGTGACTCCTACAAGGAGTGCTGATGCTGCCCTGACAGGGGTGGTTGTGAGCCAGGCCTCCCTGGCCTCCTCAGGACGTGCCTGCCACAAGGTTTCTGTGCAGTACCCTCCCCATCCCCTCGCCAGCCCAGCTCAGCTTTCCCACGATCCCACTCCTAGAACTCCTGGCCCAATTTCATGCCAGCCTCGGCCAGGCAGCTGCAGGATCCTGCCCCTGAGAACCGCGGCGAGGCAGCCCTCTCAGGTACAGCTCTTGTGTCACACAGTGGAGACAGGCCTCTGAGAGCCACTTCCCGAAACATGACAGCAATCACTTTGATTTTGTTTCTTCTTTTTTGTTGTTTTTTTGGTACCAAGTTTCAGGATGAACTTCAAACCAGCCTTGAACTCACTTGGATTTGCAACAATCCTCCTGCCTCGGCTTCCCGAATGCTGGGGTTAACACTTGCACCATTGTGCTCAAAGGCTCCTAGACTTGACTGGCCATGGAGCAGGAGACGCTCTGTGAGTGAGTGCTTCCCCTGAGGCCCAGCCTAGGCCCGGCTCATCTCTGAAGGTCCTGCCTCCCTGCACTGCAGAGCTCCAGTGGCACTCAGTGGGGAGGGATAAAGCACGCTGGAGCATAAGCTTCAACTCTGCCTCTTTGCACTGTGTCTTGGACAAGTCCTGGTCCTCTCAGGGCAGTTTCATATCTTTTTCCCTGTCCAAGGAGAGCTGAACCGAGGGATCCCTAAATATCTATCAGCAGACCAGGTGAGTTCCAGTACCTTCTTTGACTATGGGAAGGCTAAAGCAAGGGAGTTAGCAGGAGGCAACACAGAGCCCCTCTGCTCCCCCCCCCCCCCCGAAATAGGACAGGTCCAAAGGCAGATTCTGCACCCTGCTCCACTTCAGGGCACCTGGCCGTACCTTTCCTGCTCCCCCAGCTCCAATGGGATGGCAGAGTGCTGGCCCCTCTGCTCAGCTGCGACCCCCTCCTGACTTCACACCCAGTGCACATGTAGCTCAGGAAGTGGAGCTGCTGGAGTCCTAAGTGCCTGGGGCCAGGGCCCGGCAAGGGGAAAGGCTCCTGGACCTCTCAGCAAGGCGGCGCCCCCACAAAGCTCTCCACACTGCCAATTCCAGAATGTAGGACCCGCACAGAACACTGACATAACTGCAAAGTGATGCATACCATTTCCATAAGATCTACAATATGGTTATAATAACCACGGCCCCTCGGTCCCCTTAGAGACAGGCTGAATAAATATTATTCCTAATGATTATTAAAACTCATTAAGTATGTTTGGAAGGCCTGGGAATTCCCAGCATCTGCCACTGTGTCCACATTGCAGGGAGCCCTAACCTCATCACGGAGCCCAGTAGGACACCCGGGTCCAGGAAGGAGGGGGCGGCCCCCCGCACTGTGGTCATCCCCAAGGAAGGGGAACAGCAGAGGCCTGGGCCTCTACAAACTCCATCCCAGGTTTCCCCGCCCGGAGGCACTGACCTCCAGCTGTGGGAAGGTCGTTGCCTGGGAGACCCTGAGACCATCTCCTGCACATG